GGGGAACAATGTGTTTTTTCCAGGACCCACCAGCTCCAAGTCAAGTTGTCTTTAAATCTTAGTTGTGGAGGGCACAGCTCAGCTCCAAGTCCATTCTCTGTTTTCAATCTAGTTGCAGGGGGCGCAGCCCACCTTCCCATGTGGGAGTCAAACCGGCAACCCTGTTGCTCAGTTCATGCACTCGAACCAACTGAGCCACCTGGCTGCCCCCCTAATGCTTAATCTTTAACATGTGTATTAAATGAAAAAATAAGTCACAGAAAAGAGTATATGATCTTATTTATGTTAAAATAAAAAGTAACATACTAAATGCATAAGCGTAAGAAAAAAATGCAAAAAAAAACCTGGGAGGATAAATATCAAACTGTTGGCAGTATTACTTCTGGGGACAAAAATGGGATTGTTGGCAGGAAGTGTAGGGAAGAAGTAAGGGCTAGGAGACAAAGGGTTGTGCAATGAGTGGGAACTTTAATTTTTAATGTGTTTTCATATTGTTTGACTTTTTAATAACTAACAGTTTAGAGTGATGGCTAAAAGCAGGGTCTTGACCCAGCCTACCTGGATTTGAATCCTGGTTCCACTGTTTACAAGGGGCAAGTTACTTAACTTCTCCTTGCCTCAGTTTTCTCATCTATAAAATGGAGATAACTATACCTACCTCATAGGGTTATTGTGAGGATTCAATAAGTTAACACATGTAAAACTCTTAGAACACTTCCGGACACATAGGAATTGCTATATGTATTAGCTATTATTGTCCTTATGTTAAAAAGAAATCTCAACTCCACCTTCCATGACTCCCCTCTGCCTATGATGAAGGTCAACCTTCTCACCCTAGCACGCATGGCACAGATCAGGGGCTGCTGACTCACAGACTCTTCTCTGACCGCTCCTCCTCAAGCTGCAACAACAGTCAGTCCCGTGGTTTGCAAACACACCAGGCTATTTCTAGCTTTTCTGCATGGACCACCCTTCTCCATTTTCTCTATCTTGTTAAGGCAAAAGTCAAGGTTACTGCCTTCTGGAAGCCAGTCCTGACATCCCCATGCTGGGGCAGATGCTGCTCTTCTGTGCTTGGTACGTTGTATCTACTACCAACATGGCAAGCTCTCATTGGTTTGTGATTTAATCACCTACTGAACTATGCCTTATTCCTGTCACTGGACCTGGCACATAGTAGTGCTTAGAAAATGTTCATTAAATGAACGAATAAATAAGAGAGTTGAAGAGATCATAGAGAACAGAGAGTATGGTCAGTGTGGTAAAAGGGGGCTCAAAAGGTCACAGGAGGTCAGGGAATTCAGGGGTCAGAGGAAATTACTGAGTTTGATGATGAAAAAAATCAGAGGGGAATCAGAGAGACAGGTGTGGTTAAAGAGGTCAGAGGGTCAGGAGATTTGAGAAGTCAAAGGTGGAGTGATGTACTGAGATTAAAAGGGGTCACAGGAGATAAAAGAGGATTAAGGACTCAAAGAACACCAAGGAGGTCGAGATGGCCACAGACAAGCTCAGAAGGGACATCAGTGTCTTACCATCGGGCCAAAGTACCAGGCCGGGGCGGAGCGTAGCTCTCATGCCGGTGCAGCTGCAGGAAGTCTCTGCCCGGGCCCTGGGCCAGTTCACTGATTTCCTGGCCCCACCACCGTGCCTGCCGGTAGCTGCTGCACTTGAGAATCAGGGATCTGGACAGGAACAATTGAGACCACATTCCTCACCCTCAGTACCTCTGGCCTGGCCCAGAAGCCCTCCCACTTTAGCTATCACCTCTCTCCCACTTCTTCCCTTAGTACCTGAATCATAACTCCATAGGGACAGGGTATATATCTGTTCCTCGCACCTAGCATTGTACCAGGCACTCAGGTTTGTTAAATGAGTAAATGAATGAATGAATGGAGTGCATGTCTTTTACATCAAGAGTCCCTCCCCCAAGCTTATACTCAACCCCCTTTCTCTGGGCCCAGTCTCTAGGAGAAGTCCCAAGCATCTGGCTAGAACAGTTCCCTGGTTCCAAATCATGGCCAGCTCCAGTGGGGTGGAAATACCTTCCCTTCTTCCATGGGCTTTTCCATGCAACTCCCCTCAGGGCCTTAGGCTGGCTCTTCACTCACCAAGTGTCTGTCCACACCAGGGAGGCCTTACCTGTGGGAGGTGTCAATTCGGACCCCATACCGTGCCTCTGTGCTCCGTTTCCCCACCTGCACCTCGAAGCCAGGGTCAAAGAGCTGAACAAATGAAATGGCGCCAGTCTCGAGGCACATGTACAGCAGGAAGGAGTCCTTCACCACTAACCACCTGGAGCAGAAGGGTTCTGTCTGTTACTCCCTGGCCTCATGATCTCCTTCCTCGCCCCCACCCATGGCCTAGCTGCCCCACTCTAAGCTTCACCTCTTGGACCAGCGATAGCAAACTTGGTCTCGGCCGCAGCAGGTAAGGCCAGGCACGCGACGGTGGCCACCTGAACGCTTCCGGATTACCCCTTCCCTGTGGGAAAAATCAAGGAGAGACGCTGGATGGGGAATCCAGACCCCCAGCCCGCCCTGCACTGCATTCCCCATTATTAGGCAGGCAGAGATCCAGATGTTTGCAGATGGCTGGGTGAAGGGTTTCAGACACTTACAGTCCTTTGGATCCTAGGTCTGGGATAAAGGACAGCTGACTGACTTCTAGAAACTCTGTCTGCAGAGGAAAACAAAGGCTTAGGGGAGAGATTCAGGCTTTCATCCCCTCAGACCCTACTGACCCTGGTCCTCTGCACCTTGGGGACCTGATTACCCTGTTCCACCTAAAAAGACACAGGCATTCAGCACCTGAACCTTACCATGGCGTGGTAGTTGCGGTAGAAAGACATGGTCAGGAGGCGGTTGAGGTAATTCTCCAGGTATTTCTGAAGTAGAAATAGAAAACAGAGACAGATGGGACCAGAGCCATTTGCAAACCAAACGCCTTCCCAGAGAACCTGGTGTCTGGTCGCACCTGTTTGCTGGACGCATGTCTGGTGGAGCCCTCTGGACCTGTTCGGGGTAGAGAGGGCATCTCTCTGTCGGCTGCCTCTCGGGCTGGAGGATAGGGAACAGCAAAGCTGTGGGAGGGATGGGTTGAGGGTCAAGTAAGAGCTGGGAGACTGAGTGCTTGGGTTCTTGAAGCACTGGAAAAAGGGTCTTGGAGCAAGGGAGGAGACCTAAAGGCTGGTGGAAGGAAGGCCTCCTATGCTTGAATGGAGACAAGAAATAGGGTAGGCTGCCAAGGGCATTTTGGGCATCTAGCCCGGCTAAGATACTGGCACAGAACCATGGACAGGGAGAGCTGAACAGGGAAGGTTTCCTGGTAACCAGGGTCAGAGGAGGGGGCCCAGTGGCAGGGAGAGTTGAGGGGGGAATGATTGGGATCTGGGGGTGAGATAGGCAGAAAGGAGAGATGGGGACGAGGGCAGTGACAGCTCATGCTGCCACAGGGTGAGGGGCCCTTTACAGGAAGCAGTCTGTTTCCCCGCACCGAGCCAGAGGGAGTAGACTCATTAAGACTTTGTGTCTCAGGAGGTCCCGATGCAGCTCCTGGAAATGACGGAACTTCTTCTTGGTTGTCCAGGTAAAGTCACCATGAGTCAAGCGGACAGAATACAGAGTGCAGGTTCCCACCTGGGGGTGTGAGGAACTGAATGGATGTCCCCTGGTGGGGTTGCAGCGCCCCCACTCTGGCCAGTCCTCCCTTTACTCCCTCCCTTGGTGCCAGCCCAGCCACCTTGGATCCACTGGTGTATCTTTCAGTGCCCACCACCTGGGCTGTGACAGGAACCCCAGGGGCAAACACCACAGGGTGCATTTTCAGAGGTTGAAGGTCATAGATGGCCAGAAAGGGGTGCATTCGGTCAGCTAGAAGGAAAGAAAGTGAAAGACTGTAGACCCCAGGAGGTCTCTGCCCAGTCATCCTCCTCTCCCTGAGGGCCATCTTCCCTGCATACCTGGGTCCTCTCCCTCCTTCAGAGTGTCCACCTCATCGGGTTCCATCTGTAACTGGCTGGAGTCCAGGTCGCTCCCAGACGAGAAGAGGCTCTCTGGGCTCGCGGTCATCCTAGGAATATGGGGAAGCCTCAGAGAGGTGACCTGCCCTGCAGAATTCTGCCCCCCATTCCACCATGATCCTCCACCTCCCTCTTCCCCACCCGCCTGGCTCCCGCTAACTCCCAATCTCTTTCTGATTACAGATAGCCCCATCAACTGCAACGCCCTGCCAACCCACCTCTCACCTCATCCCCTATCTCAGTCCTGCATCCAGAGCCCCTGAACCCCGCATCCAGTCCCGTAACCAGGGCGCCCAGCCAGGAACACCCAGCCGGGCTCCGATGGATCAGAAGTGGGGCAGAGCAAAAGCCAGAGGAAGGGGCCCCGGGGGTCGCAAGGGGCCCGGAGCCGCTGGGGCGTAATCTAGGCCAGGCTGGCTGAGAAAGGGGGTCCCAGGCGGGAAAGGAGGAAGTTGTGCGCTCCCCGCCCGGGAGGTAAAACCCAAAATCTCAGCGTGCGGCTGAATCAGGCCCGGCAGCCTGGGCCCATTCCTGTCCCCGCCCGACTTCCTGGGCCCCGGCCCTCCTCGGCGCCCACTCCCCAGCCCCCTCACCCGGGGAGCCCGAGCCAGCGCCGGAGCCGGGTCGCGTGCAGAGAGAGACGAGCTGAGCCGGAGCCAACACCCCAGCAAGCTGGGGCGGGGCGGCGCTCAGGGCCAGCCCTCGAGGGCGGGACGCCGACTCCCCTCTGCCTATGATGAAGGTCAACCTTCTCACCCTAGCACGCATGGCACAGATCAGGGGCTGCTGACTCACAGACTCTTCTCTGACCGCNAAGACACAATGGGGTGGCTGGTTAGCTCAGGTGGTTAGATCGCAGGCTCATAACACCAAGGTTGCCAGTTCGATTCCCACATGGGCCAAGGAGCTGCGCCCTCCACAACTAGATTGAAGACAACTACTTGACTTGGAGCTGATGGGTCCTGGAAAAACACACTGTTCCCCAATAAAATTTCTTAAAAAAAAAAGACAATAAACTAAAGAAAATGACTAAAGATTGTAAGGATTAATACTTCATACATAAAGAGTTCCAACAAATCAATAAGACATACAAGCCAATTGAAAAGTGAGCAAAGAATTAGAACTGACAGTTTACAGAGGAAATCAAAATGAATGGTCAACCATAGGAAAAGATGTTCAATTTTACTACTAAACAAGGAAAGTGATATTAAAATGAAAAAAACATTAAATTCACTAGATTGGCAAAAATTAAAGTTACTGGTAACATTCAATATTAGCATATGGGGAAGTGAATATTCTCATAGACCATGAAAATATATATTGGTTATAGGCTTTTTAGAGCACACTTTGGCAGTATCTATTAGCATATTAAATGCACATACTCCTAAATACCATTAAATGCACATAGTAATTCTATTTCTAGGACTACATTCTATTAAATGCTTAGGCAAAGACTGTGTTCATTGCAGCATTATTTATAAGAGTGAAAAATGGGAAATAACCTAGTGACTAATCTTTTTTTCTTTT